ATACCGGCCCAACTCAGCTCTCGCAGCGACGGGGAGCACAGAGAGACAGGCCAGCCATAGTCTGGTGCTTGTCCCCTGGTTTACGTGGTTGAGGCCAGCCGTGCCTTGGGGAGCAGAGGAAGCCGAGAAGGGGGTGCTGTGGGGCTGCAGTGCTCACAGCTGGCTTCAGGAGAGGGGCTTGTCTGGGCCGGAGGGGCAAGCTGAACACAGCCATGTCAGTGGGCGGGGGGTGGGGGGGACGGAGTTGCGTGTTCCGGGCAGAAGAGAGGGGTCAGAGTTCCAAGACAGGAGTGAGGCGGGGGTGGCTGAACTTGACTGTGAGGAAGGGCTAGGGTGATAGGAGAGCTGGGATTTTGGAGTTGGTGTCCCAGCTTGGAACTCTGTGACTCTGGGTAGTTACTTAACCTTGCAGAGCCTCATCTGTGAAATGGGAGATCCCTCTTCCTTCCTGGAGTTGCCTGGAGGGTGGATTAGAGTCTGCTAATCAGACCTGGGTGTAACATGCTCGCCCCAGCACATGGCCTGCAGTGGGCCCTGGACATGCCTGCACAGGCCTGCCATCCCTGCCCCCATGCCCAGCAGAAAGCAGAGCCTCAGCAGAGCCACCGCTGGCCACGCTGGGCTGTGTCAGTGCCGGGCGGGCTGCAGGTTTGAGAGGCCAGTGCCCTGGCCACCTTTCCCAGGGCCCCTTCTATTTCAGGGCTCAGTCCCAGGGGATGGGGAGGTCTTGCCCACCGCACCACAGCTAATGACAGCCTGGGCTGCCAGGCCATGTAAAAACAGCTCCACTATTTTTATCGGTAGGAGGTGGCTGGCTTGTCCTCCTCCCCAGACAGTACCATCATGGGTGATTTTAAGGAAACCAGGGCCTCGATAGGGAGATGGGCCACTCCTCAAATCACAGCCTTGGATTGGGCAGGATGTGCCCACGGAACCTTCCGGGGAGTGTCAGGCGTCACCTTTGCCCAGCGGTCTGAATTTAGAGATAATTCTACCCTACCTTGCCAGGAGCGCTCGGAAGGCGCTCGGCCCCTCCACCCTGAATATCGCTTGGGTCTGGTCCTTGATGGTGTCTCTGAGGGCAGCAGGCCTGAGTCCCCATGGGAGCAGGGCCCCGAGAGGACAGGGCGGGTGTGGCTCTGCCCGAGAGCCACGCCCAGAGCTGAGGGCTTTGCATGCCCCCTGGACATTTCTTCTGAGTGGGTTCTTCCTAAGGTGTTCATGGCTTTTGCCTGGAGGCACCACTGGTGATTTCCTTCCCTTCTTTCTAAGAAAATGGTTTTTTTTTTAAATTTTTTATTTTTTTTATTTTGACATACTCATTTTATGTTTTCTTCTGCTGGTCCAACTTATTCAAATGTGTACATTTTCCCCATATGAATAAACATCTTAATTTTTGCTGATTTATTTACTTTTCAATGTGCATATTTTTATATGGAAATATAAAGAACATCATTGTTATATAGAATATTAACGCATGGCAACATCTCTGACTCTGGCCAAATTACTTCCCATATCAGGAGAAGATCATCAAAGAATCAGAGTAACCATTGAAGAAAAGAAAAGAAGGATTAAGTTCTCAATGCAATATGCTGTAGTTATATGGACGTAGTAATGGCACATCCAGTTAGGACAACCATGTATTTCATTAGAGACCATAGACTAAGAATGAATTCTCATACCAAGAACACTGGATTAATCTAAATGGGTGCCATCATTTAACAACTTATAATTATACTATATCATATTGTCAACAGAACAGGATTTATTAACTGACTAGAAAGCCTTGGTCCAGATTTTGACATCTGTCTAGAATTTACTCAGCTCAGTTATTCTCCCACGGCAGAGTGCAGGTTACTTGTAAGCTATCAGAGCATTCTTAAATGGAATTTTGTTCCATTTCTATTCTTGTTCTTTGTAGGTGCTAGACATCACCTAAGTTTGTTTGATTACCTAAATTCTAATTATTTCCTTTATCCTGAAATATTTTTATCTTCCTGAATTATTTCTCCTTTTTCCAAGATGATGATTCTCCTTCTTCCCTAAAAAATAGTAAGGTATTTTCAAATTAATATACTGAAATTCCTACTGCATTACCAAACTTCGTCGTCATTCATGTATTTCTTTTGTCTTTTTTTTTAAATTAATTTATTTACTTTTTAAATACATTTGTCTCTGCCTTCCCCCCACCTCTTTCCCTTGCCCCCTCCCACCTTCCCTCCCTCAGCTCTTCCCCTTTGGTTTTGTCCATGAGTCCTTGCTATATGTTCCTTGACTTTCCCCTTCCCTTTCCTTTCCCTGCCCCCCCCTTCCCTCTTGTCTCTGTTAAGAAAATGGTTTTAAATGGGCTCTGGGCCTCTGGATGGAGTGTGCGAAGCAGCATAAGGGATGGGGTGGCAAATCCCCGTGCAGGGCAGTGTGAGGCCCACCCGTAAAGGTGCTAGAGCGGCAGTGTATTGGCGTGGCCTCTGGGTGTTGCATCTAGCTTCCCTCCTCCCCCCATAAGCTCCTCCCCCTCTGTCTGTCTCACTCTTCAACTCCTTTTCTCCCCTTCTCAGGGCACTTTCCCGCCCCTCTCTCTCCTAACCCACCTCAAATATCGCCTCCTCTTGGATGCCTTCCCCAGTCCAGCTACTTGCCCTACATTGATCCCATGATCTGACCCCTCTGGGTGCTTCATACCCATCTTTTGTCCCCCCACCCCACCCCCAGCGCCTCTGTGGGCAGGGCCTGCGCCTGTGTGTCATAGCTCTCCGTCCCATTCCGTGAATGAAAGGACTTGTGTGGCTCTCCATGGCTTCCAGGTGCTTCCTCATACCTAACTTTACTGAGCAACCGCACCTCCAGAAATGAGGGTCGGGGGCTGAGGGTTTAAATGGCAAGAGCCAGGCCCAGAACCTAGCTCGTGTCTCCTTGTTCACCTTCCACCCTTGCCCCCTCTCCAAGGCCCCAGAGCTCCTTATGGATGGCATGGGTGGGCCGGGCGTGTAATTACTGTCCACTCGCGTGGCCTTGGAGCAAAGACGGCAGAGGCGCGGAAGGCTGAGTTACCCAAGGCGGAAGTGGGAGGTGGGGGACCCCAGGCCCCCAGAGCAGGCCCACTGTGGCTCCTGGTTTGTAGGACTGTGGCTGAGTCCGGTCCGGGGCTGGAGGCTGAGCCGGAGGCTAAGGATGTGTGCCCACAGGGAAAGGCTTCCAGCGGTGGTGCAGTTGGTGGCTCCCGGGAGCCTGGGATGGCTGTGCCCTCCCACGGATGTCCCAGGGGCCTGAGGGGAACGGTCCCTGTGCCATATCCTTTTCCAGGAGCCGGGGCAGCTGCTGTAGGCCCTGGGCGGAGACCTGGGGGTATGGGTGCAACGCAAGGTATGGTGTCCTCTTCAGGGCGGGTGCCACATCTGTGGTGGGCAGAGGGCACAGTCAGGTATGGCGCAGAGAGACCCTGTGGCGGGGAGCTGGGCTTGTCTCGTGGCCTGTCCCTGACCCCTACATTGAGGAGAACCTTGAGAGGACCCCCCCTTACCCCTGAGCATTCATCTCCCATGAGCCTTCTGGTGCTAGGTCACTCCTCTCATAAACTGTCAGTGGCTCCCAGAGCTGGGGCCGCAGTGCTCAACACTGGCCAAAGAGACCCACTTTGGAGCTTCCCGCAGCTGTGATGCCCAGGGTCGCCCCTCAGAGAGTCTCATGGGATTGGTCTGGGGTGGGGCCCAGGCTTCTGCATGTCAGGATTGGGAAGCCAGCCTCAGGGGTCGACTTCCTAGGTGTCAGGGATGACATCACTGGGTGCCAGCCCAGTTTCCCTCTTGTCCCTTCCCTGCCTCATTCCAGCCAGGCCAGCCCCTTCCTGGTCCCCACCCGCTGGGCACCACCCCCACCTCTGTGCCCCGCTATCTGGTCGCTGTCTCCCTTCAAATTCAGCCAGGCCCTCGCAGCCCGGCTGAGTCCCTTGCTCTCTGGGGACCCATCGTTAATTGCCTGGCAGTCCCTACTCTCCCTTCCCGTTGCTGCTGCATCTCTTGTAGATCCTTTGCCCTGGTGACCTTTCTGGTGTCAGGTGACCCTGACACTTCTAATCCTGAACCACTTAAGAAACAGGCAAGACATCCGTCCATTAGGGACCAGTCAGGGTCGGAGGCCCCGCTGGCGTTCCTCCCTCTTCCCAGGCGGAAATGAACTCACTCTTGTGAGCAGCTGGAGGCCGCAGAGCCCAGGTCGAGGGAGGCCAGAGGGTCTACGCAGTACCCACAGGTCGGAGCCCTGAGAGCTGAGGTTTGCTGCCCGCTGTCCTGGCCGCCTTCCCAGGCCCACCCACCCCGTCCTTAGGGAGGCCCAAGGGCTAGGGGAGAGAGGAGCCAGGAGTCTTTTCTCTAGTCCTGGGAGGGTTGGGGGCCGGAGGAGAGGTCCCCACTCGGGGCTGGCGGGGGTTGGCAGTAAGGGTCCTCCCTAGTGGTCAGAGCTGAGTGTCAGTCCCAGGCCTGCGGGGCCTCTCCACGCCTCAGGCATGACGGAGGGAGCCTGAACGGAGCTTCCCCGTGGCAGCCTGTCCTTGTCTGGGTGCCCCGCAGAACAGGGGGCCCAGAACGGGGGTTAGAATTTCTCAGTGAGGGAGGATTGAAGGAGGCCGGGTGACGTGTCCCTGCGTCCCAGTAGGAAGTGGGTTTTGGACGCCCTTGGCCTTGCCGTCCGAATCCCTTCCTCCCATCCCCAAGGGAGGGTGTGAATGTGTGAGTGTGTCTGAGTGTGTCTGAGTGTGTACGGTATGAGCGTATGTGGTGTGTGAGGTATGTGGTGTGTGAGGTGTGGTATGGGGTGTGAGTGGGTATGTGCAGGGTGTATGTGGTATGTGTGAGAATGTATGTGTACGGGTATGTGTGTGGGGTGTGTGAGTATGCATGGTACGTGTGGGATGTATGTATGTGTGTTGTATGTCGTGTACATAGTACATGCATGTGGGTGGGGATGAATGCCTGCACTGATGCCCACCCTGTGCTACCCTGCAGGCGAAGGCTGCCAAATTGGAGCAGGAGGCCCGGAGGCTGCAGCTGCGGAGCCTGCAGTACCTGGAGCGCTACGTGTACCTGGTGCTCTTCAACGCTTACCTCCACCTGGAGAAGGCGGACTCCTGGCAGAGGCCTTTCAGCACCTGGATGCGGGAGGTGAGAGGTGGGAGGTCCGGGCTGCCTGGGCAGGCCCCCTGTTGAGCGGAAAGCATTCCCATCTCTCTTTTGTTTGGCTGAGATTTTGCCTTGCTTGACCTTGGGTCCCCAGCACAGTGCCTGCGCTTGGAAGGCAGTAAAAGTTTGGTGAGTGAAGGAGTGAACGAAGAGGAGGGAGGAGATGAGGTGTGTGGGGGACAGGACAGGGCAGTGTGTCAGGCTGGGCTGCTGCTCTGTGTGTCCTCAAGGCCAACATTGCCTGGCTTCTTTATGCCCGTTATGTGTTCAGCCCTTACCTACTCTGCGAGGGGCGAGATGGCATGGTGGCCCAGTCCCTGCCACCCTCTATATGACCTTAGACAAGTTAGTTAACTATCTCGCTGTCCTCAACATTAAAATGGACACAATGCTGATACTGTTGGCACCGCCTTAGGAGGTCATGGTGGGCGTTCCATGTGATGCACAGTCCCGCCTGCCAGGCCCTGTGCTGAGCATCTCTGCCTCACAAGGGGACTGTCACTCTCCCATCCGAAAGAGGAGGAGCCTGAGCACAGACAGGCTAGGAGCCTTGTTCACAATCACAGCGGAGCCAGCTGGTTGGCTCCAGAGCCCACCGTGTCTGGGTAGGACACCGCCCTCGAGTTCTGCCTCTGTGCTTGGCCTCTCGGGTCTTCCTGGTTCTTCCTCTGTCTCAGCCGGTTTCACAGGCAGAGCTGGCACCTCGCTGCTGCTAGGTCAGTGGGGTGGCCTCCTTCTGTCCTCGGCAAAGCGGCCTGTAATTACCCCTCTACCAGGACGCTGGCCCCTCCCGACCGTGCCACCTGTCCTGGTGATTCTAACGTGGACCAAGTCTGCATTAGCTCTGGTGGGGCAGGCAGGTGGGAAAGCAGGAAGCTGGGACCCCAGCCAGAGCAGGTTAGGGAGGATAGGGGCCTAGGCAGGTGTGAGGGAGCGGCGGCTGGGGGTGGGGGCAGGGAGGCCCCGGCAGTGCCCCGTGGCAGGGACAGTGGCTGCTGGGCTGTTGTGCTGAAGGAAAGGCCTTGCGCGTGGCCCTCAGGTGGATGAGTGCTGAGTCAGGACACCTGCCGGGGAGGAGGAGGCATGGGTCACACCAAGGCCACATTGGGGCCCTGCTGTTGAGCAGGCTTTGTCTCCGCTTCCTCTTTGAGCCCCTGGATAGGGTGGAGGTGGTGGGGGACACAGGACACTTCCACCTGGGTTTTGCTTGGAGAGTGGAAATCAGGGGAGCTGAGGGCTGGGAAGGAGCTCGACCCAGTCCCCAGCTGAACCTGGGTGGTGAGTGTCGGGGGAGGTCAAGGAAGGAGAGTACTGCGGGTCCAGTTGGGAGAGGGGGGGTTCTAGCCTCAGGGCCCTCCCCCTGGGTATGAATGGAAGTAGGGGGGAGGGTTTCTTGAGGGCCTTCGTTCTGAGTGGATCCTGCTCTTTCCCACCCCCAGGATGATGGGGTGAGAAGGGGGCTGCTTGCTGGATAGTTTGGGTCTAGTGTCAGGGCCTGGGCCACCGGGCAATAGAGCTGCGTGGGAGGGTGTCCCGGGAGGCCCCAGGTAACCTGCCTGAGTGGAGGCCCCCAGCCAGAACTCACCGCCAGAGGCTCTCGCCGGCTCCCCGAGGTCATGCGCCTCCCGGAGCCTCCCTGCAGGCCCCAGCTGTCAGGCCCAGAGCCCGCCCTTCTGACTGTCCCTGGCGGAGACCTGGGGCTGCACGGGCACAGCGTGAGCCGGGTCTCCTGCGTGGCTCTCCCCCTGCGGGGTGCCTCCGGTGCTGGCGCCGCCCCCCATCATGGCCCTGGCAGGCAGAGACTCTTATCCCCATTATGAGGAAATTAAAGCTCAGAGCAGTTAATAGTGGTCAAAATGCAAACTCATTAAGTTCTCTGAGATGGTAGGAGGCGTCCCTGGGCCTCAGACTCAGCTGTGTGCTTTGGAGCCCCGTGAGGGAAGGCAGGCAGGAAGCGGGGCGGGTGACCCAAATGGCACCCTTCCTCCCCAGGAACGCAGCCCCATCTCTGCTGTCCTCTCCAGGTGGCATCGAAGGCTGGAGTCTACGAGATCCTCAATCGGCTGGGCTTCCCCGAGCTTGAGAACATGGAGGACCAGCCCTTCTCAAGGCTGCGCTGCCGGTGGCAGGAGCAGAGCCACGGCCTTGAGCCCGTTGCTGCCGGAGACTTCCTGTAGGACGTGTTTCCCCTACCCCTGTCCCCTCCTGCAGGGTCCCACGAAGGATCAGGGTGTCTGAGGTGCTGTTCACTGAAGTGGCCCTGAGTTAACTGTTCCCTAGCTTCCCAGGGAGATGGGGGCTGGGTTGGGACTCCTTTTTGGAAGGAGCTTTTTATAGGACAATTAGCACACAGTTGTACTTTGCAAATGACAGGCGTGAGAACAGTCTTCAGGAGAGCCCAGGGTATATGCCTTGCAGACGGGCTGGAGTCAGCCCTCCAAAGGGCTCACTCCTCAAGTTGCTAAAGAAAGCTGCTTGCCACTTGCACTGCCGTCCCCTCCTCCTGCTCCCCTCTCCGAGCAGCCTGACAGTCCCTGGCACAGAGCAGCTGGCCAGCGGTGGTTTCCTTCTCTCTCATTCTCTTGCTGCTCTCCCTCTCGGCTTCTCCCCGTACTCGGGGCCTGTGTCTCCTGGGGAGTGGACAGCACTCTGGGTGGCTTTGTTATTAAATGCGGCTTTACCTAGTTTTCTTGCCTCTCGTGCCCGGTCTCCATCCTGGAGACTTCAAGAGGTACAATCACACCGCTTGGTGGGTCCAGCAGAGGCCCCTGCCTCTCCTTCCTTTCCCCACTTCCCTGCTGTGGGGCTGGCAGGACTGTGGTGTTTTCTAAGGAGCTGGAAGCATCAGGGAGCCCTTCTCAGAGGAAGAAAGGGCTTCCAGGAGGTGGATGCAGTCCTGCGGAAGAGGCCAGCTCCTTCTGCCTGGGAGCCCGGGTGGGAGGTGCTGGGGAAGACAAAGCACCCAGCCTTGGGCCCCCCCACACCCCCTCCCCCCATCCCCACAGCCCAAGATGGCCCCGTGCCCCTGCCCGCTGCAGCAGAAACTCTCAGGGGTGCTGTACCCGAGCGAGCAGTGCAGCGTGTGAGTGGTGTGAGGCGTCACTTGGATTCCAGACCATCCTTGCTGGGGTCCGTTGAGCTGCCTTCCAGTAGGAACGGAAGGGGCCACGCACGGCTGACCTAGGGGCCTCCAGGACCTGCTGTGTCCAGACAGTGGGAAAGCTGCTCGGAAGAGGCAGGGGAGGCAGGCGGCGCTGGGTCAAGCCTTGCAGCACTTCCCCTGGCGCCTGGTGTCAGGGGCTGAACAGTGGGGAGGCTGTCCACCTGTCTGGCTTGTTGGGGCCGGTGGGGGACCTCTGTTTGGTTGAGTACATGCACTTCTATGGAAAAACAGGTGGTTGTGTCCCTAGTCATGGCATTTGAAAAGGGGACAAGAGGATGAAATTGTTCATATCTACCTAGTATTGGAAAATATTTGACCATCTTGGCTGATTTCTTTTTGCAAAACTACTGTATGTCTCTTCACTACCCTTCCAGATTTGTTGTTTTTGGTTTGTTTTTTTAATTTGTTTTTTGCATGTATTAAAAAGTTTTAATTTCTTCGCAGACAAGGCCTAGGTGAGAGGTCAGAGATCGGGGCTGAACTGGGAGGGAGCATTTGTGTTCTTGTGGTTGGCCCTGACTTTCAGCTGTGCTGGGATCACTGGCCGGTCACATCACCACTCTGCCTCAGTATTCCCATCTGCAAAATGGGAGAATAATACTTGCCTACCTACCTCACAGGGGTATTGTGAGGATTCATTTGTGATTTTTTTTTTTGTACAGAGCTTTTGAGCATTAAAAACAGCTACATGTGAAGTGTGCTTGGCTGCTAATTTATCTTTAGTGTGGAGCTGGGGTCCCTGCTCCTTCACAGTAAGGGCTAGTGGGCAGGGTGAGTTGAGAGTACCTACCTTTAGTGCTCCCTAGACTCAGAAAAGGTGGAGTTTTTCTGGACATCCCTCCTCTTCTTTCACATTTCCAATCGTGCCTTACCATTTCACTCAGGATGCCAGGGCTATCATGCTAAGCCCCTCCTTGAAGAAAGCATCATACCAGGCTAATTTACACTAACGTGTGAAAGACTGCCCTAACTAGGGAAATGAAACAAAGTAGAATTTCAGGGGCCATGAAGGAGGGTGGACCCCTGCCTTCATTTCCTCCCCCCTCCCCAGGCTCTGCTCAGTCCCTCCAGGCCCCCCATGCTTGAACACGCTTGCATTGAGAGACTGGTGTGTAAAGAGGCTGCAGGGAGAGTGAGGCAGAAACAACACTGACCCTGGCTTCTTCAAACTCTTCCAGGATTAGGGGAACAAGGCTCTGTGGGATGTAGTTCCGAGGTCAGCTGGGGTGGTCGGAATGGAACGTGGAACCCCCGCTGAGCTGCAGTTGGTCATCTTTCCAGGCTGGGAGGGGAGGCCTCCTGGGGTTATTTCCTAGCGCAGCGGGAGACACTATCTCCTAGGCTGTTTCATGTGGTTTCTGAATGCAAGATAGAGGCGTGTGTACTGGGTGTGTGTGTGTGTGTGTGTGTGTGTGTTTCTCACTTCTCTGCCTGGGATGAGGGGTCTGGGCCGGGGTACACAGGGGTGGTGATGTGTTCACGGATGTGCCCCCCCCAAGCTCCCCAGTCCTGCTCCAGCCTGCGGAGGGCACCCAGCAGTGGTATGGACGGTACTGGCTCACATTTCAGTACGTCCTCTAGTCAATGGCATCTGAAGCCTCTGGCACGTGAGTAAATATGTCAAACTTTAGAACAGCACCTGACACACAGTAAGCACGTAATCAATTTTAACCAACTTTGCAAGGTCTCTCTCCAAGCCCTTGCTCAGTAGTCCCCCACTTACTGCCCACATGCCCCCCAAATGCACAGATCTTAACAAATGCATATGTCTGTAACCCAAACCCTGTCAAGATACACAACCTTACATGTGAGTTATTTTTAATGTTAAAATTTGTAAACAATATCTTAACGTCGTCAAACACAAATCTTGGTATAGGTAATGGTTAGAGCTCCTGGAGTTGCATATTGCTGGGAACAGCCCAGCTACATTTAGCAAGTAAAAGGGTTGTAAAAATGTGGTCAGTGGCAGGACCTCATGGGAGACTTGGTGGGGATGCAACAGGGCCTGGGGGCGGCCAGAATCGGGGGCCAGCCTGGAAGGCCTCTGCGGCTGCAGTGAGCGGGCACCGCTCTGCTTCCCCCTGGAGAACCTGGCACGAAGAGCAGTTGACACCACCTCCAGCTACTGCGCCTTCGGATCTAACACAAGTCAAGGCCGTGCTCCCCTGCAGCCGTCTCTCCCCTCAGTCCTTGCTTCTGGGCAAGGACTAGGCTCAGCCATTCCTGCCCATCCCTGCACTCCTCCATCCGGCAGCCTGTGAGGGGCCTCCCTTCAGTCTGCCGAGGGTCCTGAGAGCCACTGGCAGTGGCCGGCTCTTCCTTCCTCTCATGGCATCACACCCGCATCATGTGTTGAAGGCCTTTCCTGTCGTGGCTTCCTCTACTCTTCACAGAAGAGTTTGTTGATGAACGAGGACCAAATGAATCTCCACCACCTCCAATCCCCTCTTGGTGTCTGCGCTCTGAGCGCCTGAACAATACACCTTCGCTCTTGCCTTGGCCTCTCTGGGCAGGGGCTGTGTCCTTTCTGTTGAAGGTCAACCTTCTCTGTCACTGTTTGGGGAAAATGATCACCCCAGTTTGCAACTTCACATGTTACAGTTCTACCCAGACAAAGTCGCCTTTCTCTCTCTTGCCCTGTCCTCCTTCGCAAGTGCAAGGCCACCGATCCTGTGGACTGTGACCAGAGGGGCAGGAAAGTGTTGCTCTGCCTTCCCTGTGAATGGGGGGGTGGGGAAGAGAGGACCGAGGGGGTTGTAGTGAGCTGGGTTGATACCCGCAAACCCACATATGGCAGTGCACAACCTAAATAAAGGGAATGCCCTTCTAAAGGTTTTTGAGATGCAGCTCTGTTTGCCCTCCTGAAACGTCCCATTTTACCGTCTCTAACAGCAGTTACTGAGGGCGCTGTTTCCCAGCTCCTGCCAGCACTGCTTATTACATTTCTTAAAAAGTTTTTGCCAGTTTTGCAGTTCCAAATAGAATCTCACACTTACTTAATTTTGTATTTCTTTTAAATTAATAGTGAGGCTGAACTATTTTTCCATGTTTATTGGCCATTTATATTTTTCTCTTTTATAGATTGTGTCCTTTGCCCTTTGGGATGTTTGTCTTTTTTTATTGACTTGTAAAGATGGCGACACTTGCTTTCTCACATGCACTGCATTATTGTTAGCTTTAAGACGTCATCAGGCGACAAGGGACACACACGGTCCCTTGGAGCCTGTCCTCTCCACTCACCCTGTGCCCTCTGTCTGCACTGCAGCTGATGCGCTGCAGATCAATAACTTTTGCTTATTTCATTATGCTCTTTATTAGAATATTTACTTTGTCAGACACTATATTTAGAGTCATCCCATTCAAAATTCCAGCAATACCACAGGGTAAGTATTACAATCCTCATTTACAGGTGGGGCTACGGCGGCCCAGCGAGTGTCTGGTTCCAAGTTGTTGCTCAGTGCAGAGGTAGATGTGGGAGCCAGCGCGAGGCCCTGGAATCGTCTCTGACGTTTTCTGTGATGGGGGAGAGAAAAGTCTATCCTTCCGAAGCAGCACCCTGGCTGGGGCGGATTGGGGTGGTGGTGTGGGGAAAGCATGACTACTTTGAAAACCCTCCCTCAAGGTCTTGTGGTTCTCGGACTTAGTGCTGCTCAAACCCTGTGTTCTTTCAAGAGGCTCCCCTCAACACCACAAGAAATGCCTGTTTCCTCTGAGTCACACTGATAGCTTACCTATGACGTGGGCCTTTTAAGTTTCGTTTTGCTCTCCCTCGTAGCTTATTCTTTCCTTTTCGTACCATCTGCCCACCTCACTCACCAAAAAACCTTACGTGACAGCGTCTCTGCTGTCCAAAAGCAATTTTCATTCTTTCTTTGAACTAAATGAGGCCATCTTCTGGGCGGAATTAAACACCAATAGTTTATGAAAATACCCATTTCCCCATTCTCACCCCTATGTTTGGGGTCACCAGTCTTTTTCATTTTTGTCAATCTGATAAAGAAAAAAATCATCTTTTATTTTTATCTTAATACGATTTTTCAAATTACTAATGAGATGGAACATCCTTTCATGTTTTTATTGGCTACTTGGGTTTTCCCTTTTACGTATTTACTTATTTTTCTATTGGGTTGTCTTTTTATTTTTATTTTTATTGTTTTAAATTTATTTTTAGAAAGAGGGGAAAGGAGGGTGAAAGAGAGGGAGAGAAACATCAGTATGTAGTTGCCACTCACGCACCCCCTACTGGAGACCTGGCCTGCAACACAGGCATGTGCCCTGACTGGGAATTGAACCAATAACCCTTTGGTTTGCAGGCTGGCACTCAAACCACTGAGCCACACCAGCCAGGGCTGGGTTGTCTTTTTAAGTTAAAAGGCATACATTTTTTAACACGATTTGCTTCATTTATAGATATAGGTAGATATACATCCAATTCTTTCTCCCAGTTGGTCTTGTAACTTTTTTTAGAGTACACTTTGTCGTAGAGAAGTTATAAATTATGATGTGGTGAAATTTATGCATTTTGTATTTTATGCCTTGTGTAAGCAGACCTTCCCTACCCAAGGCTTATATATCCATTTCCTATGTTTTCTTTGACTATTTGCACAGTGTTGTCTTTTATGTTTAGTGCTCTAATTCATCTGGAAAAAATTTTGTGTGAATGACATGAGGAAAAGAATATAAGTTTTTCCAAATGGGTATCCAGTTGGCCCCACATTATTTATTGAACTCCTTGAACTACAGCCTTCATCGTACTTTAGATCCCCATGTATATGTGGGTCCATAGAGTAGACGTGGTTGTCATTGCCCCTGACATCCACTCATCTTCAGGAACCGTCTCTGCCTTTCCGTTATCGGGAAGAACAGGGGAAAAGGCTTGACTCAGCTGGCCATTTAAGCCCAATTAGGGCTTATCCTGAGCACTTGCCTGAGGGATTGGAGGTCTTAACTACTCTTGTTGCACTTAAAGGGAAGGAGTGGAAGTGGCTATAGTCACATAGCCATGAGGAGAAAACAAATCTGGGAATGAAACCAACACGTGAAGGCCAATGGAACTGAGTGGATAGATGTTAATTTTGAGTTTCTACATCACTTCACGCCTACAGCCAGGTGCCCCTAGCCCTCAAGAACTTGGAATCAGCGAGCTGTTTCTTTCTGACCTTGAGTCGGATGGTGTTTTCCCTCAGTGTACAGTCATCGTAGTGTGTATCTGTACTTTTTATTTTCTCCCATTCATTTTTTTCATCTTTACAGGTTCTTTCTTCTTTCTTTCCTTTCTTCCTTTCTTCTTTCATTTCTTACTTTTATTTCCAAATGAATTTTAGAGTCAACATATCAGGTCTTATTTAAAAATTCCATTGATATTTGGATTGGGATTATATTTAATTATTGGTTAACTCAGGGAGAATGGACTCATACAGTATGGAGTCTTACTGTTAAGGAATAGGTTTCTTCTGCATCTTTCAATAAAAGATATTCATGCTCTTCTTAAGTCCTACCTGTTTCTCATTAAGTGTATTGGTGGTTTTTAACAGTTCTTTTGTAAATTATGAACTTTTCTATTAGTTTCTAATTGGTTATTGCTGATATAGAAAAAATAAGGGTTTTTTTTTTTTTTGGCATGAAT